TATTCCTAGTGACGGATGCTCGGTGTAATAAAGGCACTTTTAAAATATTATAGCGTCTGTAAGATATTCTGTTGACTACGACATATTTCCGTTAAATGATTAGGTTTGTAAATTATGAAAAGATTAAAATTATGTTTTTTGTAGTATAATAAAATATAGATATTTGTAGCGAAAAAACCCAGACAAAAAATTCTTTTTTTTTTTTTTTTTAAAAAAAATCATCTTAGAATCACAATCGCTCGTCCAAATTTAAATAAGATTTTAAATTAATACGTTTTTAAGGTGAAATGAACTTTATAGTTTAACAATATGATCTGTTCTGATCGTTAATTGGCAATTTTCTATAATTATAAGCTCTTTCTTGGTCTTAATTCTAGTATTTTTTGTGGAAATTGATAGAAATATCTTGTTTTGACAACTATATATAGTTAATATAATTTAGAACCGATTAGAACTACGATCACTATTTAATTAAGGAACTTTTTCAAAAGATTTTAACTAAATTCAAGTTGATGCCGAAGAGTGGAATTGATATAAAGACTCCGAAATGGTGTTCTTTAGATTCACTATTACGGGTAGTAAAAAGGTTTTGAAAATTATATTTAAAAAAAAAAGTTTCTTTAAATATTAAAAAAACCATAAGTAAAAAAAAATTAAACCATTTAAAGTTTTTGTTTAGACTTAATAAGCTAATAAAATCATGCTGCTTTCAAATAAAAGTATTAGTGTAATTTGTAAACTCCCTTAACTACACCGAGTGCAGGAAGTTTTGGTGGGTGTGTCCCCCACATTTTTGATGAAAGAGTTTTTTTTTTCTCTTTTAAAAAGTCTACATATAGAGGACTTTTTTTACAAATTGATAATCGTGACCCTCCCCCCCTCTTCCAACTTTGAAACCCTTGTCGTCAGCCTTGAACCATATATACTCTGGATTCGTCACTATTTATCCTAATAACTAAAAATTTTGCTAACACTAAAACATTTTGTAGTTTCTAGTACTAGTACTTTTTTTAATACTGAGGGGACTCTTAAGTTCAGGTAACAATGCGATTGCACCTGCATAGTGCTGAGGGCGCATATGATGTCAGAGTGTCTGATTTCCCTGAACTAGACCTGTTTCCATGATTTAATTAATATTTACAAATGTTCAACTCCAGAAAAAAAGCACTTGATTTTTTTTTTTAAAAACACCTTGCTATTGGAAAAATATATATATAGGCCATAATATAAAAATAATTATTAAAAAAAATAATAGGACATTTGCCCAAATTATTTACGAAATATACGACTGATAGATGTCTAGCCGGCCAGACATTTATCCGTCGTATCTATTTAGCTATTTCCCTAAGGCTACCCTAATTTTTACCTAAATTCAACCCTGTTTCACAGATAGTTTTTTTTTTCTTTGCAGACATCTTAATTCCCTGACGTTTCCCTAATCCCTGCATATGATAAAAGTGCCTGGGTATATAAAAGTTAAACAATGTCAAAGTTTGTATTAAAAAAAAAAAGAAACGAAATAAAGATGTTGTACCAAGTAAAGAAATTCTAATTTATTAAACAATCACAGATTTATATATATATATATATATATATATATATATATATATATATATATATATATATATATATATATATATATATATATATACATATATATATATATATATATATATATATATATATATATATATATATATATATATATACATATATATATATATATATATATATATATATATATATATATATATATATATATATATATATATTTGTATATATATATATATATATATATATATATATATATATATATATATATATATATATATATATATATATATATATATATATATATATATATATATATAATACATATATACATATATATATATATATATATATATATATATGTGTATATATATGTTTATATATATATATGTATATATATATATATATATACATGTATATGTATATATATATATATATATATATATATATATGTATATATATACATATTGTATATATATATATATATATATATATATACATGTATATGTATATATATACATATGTATATATATACATATTGTATATATATATATATATATATATATATGTATATATATACATACGTATATGTATATGTATATATATATATATATATATATATATGTATATATATACATATGTATATATATATATGTATATATATACATACGTATATATATATATGTATATATATACATATATATATGTATAGATATGTCCAACATTGGCCCATTGTTGGCAGCCAACTATTTTAACGTTGGCCCGATGTTGGTTGACTGATGTGGGCCAACATTGGCGTGATACAATAAACAACATTGGCCCAATAGTGTTGGGCCGACGTTGGCTAACTTATATGGGCCAACAACGGTTTTATATCCTAGCGCAACATTGGTCCAATATGTTGGCCTAACATAAATGTTTTGCCGACCTTGATAACTCTTAGTTATAC